CTGCTGCAGGTGCAAGGAGGAGCATCAGGAGGAAGCAGCAGCAGACGAGAGCAAGAAATACTGGCGGACCTGGAAGGCGTACGCTCCCCGCAGCAGCAGCAGCCGCTGCAGCAGTCCCTGCAGCAGCTCTAGCAGCAGCTCTAGCAGCAGTGCTAGCAGCAGCAGCAAGCCGACTGAGTGCACATGCTATACCACCCAAGACTTCAGTAATTTTGTGTTGTTTAGGGTTTAGGGTTTAGGGTTTAGGGTTTAGGGTTTAGGGTTTTGCTTGCACTGTCTTCTCAGGGAGCATCGCTGCCTCGTACAAAAGTGAAGATGCCCCGCTCTCACCTGGTGGAGAGTGCGGCGAAGGTAAGCACCGAGACCTCTCCCTGCCCTCACGTTTGTTTGTTTCTTTCTTTCTTTCTTCTTTTTACTGTTTGTTTTATGTTTATGTTTAGGTTTAGGTTTGTGGCTTTCATCTGCATTTGTTTGTGGTCGTCATCTGTTTGCTGCTGCTGCTGCTGCTGCTGCTGCTGCTGCTGCTGCTGCAGGTAATGGACCATCTGCTGGCGAACAGCCGCAGCAGTGAGGAGCAGCCCGTTCTAGAGGTGGAGTTTGCTGGCGAAGAGGGAGTGGGCCAGGGGCCAACGAACGAATTTTATGCAGAGGTGGGTGCTGAATGTTTTAGTTTTTATTTATTTATTCTTTTTTGTTTTGTCTTTGGTTTGGGGTTGAGTGTATAGGAATAGACTGTCGTCGTTCTCTGTAGATAGCAGTTAGGTCCAGTGGCTGTTGATTGCTGCAGTCGTTCTTGCTGCTGCTGCTGCTGCTGCTGCTGCTGCTGCTGCTGCTGCTGCTGCTGCTGCTGCTGCTGCTGCTGCTGGTGGGGTGCTTGAGGCGCTGCTGTCGTGGAAGGACCCCGAGTTGTTTTTGAACTGCAGCAGCGGGGGAGGGTTATTCCCTCGCGCGTACTTGACGGACATATCTCTGGTCCCAGTAGAAATGCTGCGGCGCCCGCGAGCTTCTCCTCTTGTGCAGCAGCAGCAGCAAGTGGCAAGCTGGAGCGCCAGTTGTTCAGCCACTTCCGCCTGCTAGGACAGCTAG